AAAAAAAAAAAAAAAAAAAATTGTTGTTCCCATTAGTAATGTGTCATTTCTCTCTAGTTGCTTTGAAGATTTTTTTCATTTATTTTACTTTTCTGAAATTTGATTATGCTACATCTGGATACATATTTCTTTGGGTTTTTCTTGTTTGGGGTTCTAACAGCTTCTTAAATCTGTAGGTTTATTTCTTTTGCCAAATTTGGGAAATTTTCAGCCATACTTCTCCGAGTCCTTTTTCAGCCCTACTCTCTCTCTAGCACTCTGATGACATGAATGGTAGATAATTTATTGTAGTACACATGTCCTTGAGGCTCTGTTCATTTTTTTCACTCTATTTTCTGTTGTTCAGATTGGATAATATCTATTGTTCTATTTTCAGATTCACTAATTCTTTATTCTGTCATCTTTGTTCTACTATTGAGCCCATCCAGTTTTTCAAATTTTGTTTACTATATTTTACAGTTCTAAAACTTCCATTTTTAAAAAAAATATATATTTCTTTGCTGAGAATTTCTATTTTTTCATTTGTTTCAAGTGTGTTTGTACTTGCTAATTGAAGCATTTTTATGATAGCTGCTTAAAACCTGTCTTGGATAATTTCACTACCTTTTGCCATCTCAGTGTTGGTATCTGCCAGTTGTCTTTTCTCATTCAAGGTGAAATTTCCCTGGTTCTTGGTTTGACAAATGCTCTTTTCATTGTATCTTGGACATCTGGGATATTACATTATGAATCTCTGAATCTTATTTAAAATGTTCTATTTTAGCAGGCCTCCACTGACACCACATTGGTGAAGGAAGGGTTGCATTACCCGGTTACTGCCAGGTTGGGGTGACAGTCCCGAAGTCCTGGCTTCCCACTAGGTCTCTGCTAATAGGAGGGGGATTTTTTTCTGTGGTGCTTGGTTTCTGTCTTTTTAGGCTGATCCTTTCCCTGTCCTTTGGCTAAAGATAACAGGCTTTTCTTTTCTTTTTTTTCCCCTGTGACCATTGGCATTTCTGGCCTGCAAGCTTCTTCAGTGCCCATTCTAGGATATAAAAAAGGTAAAAAGAAAATCCAGGGAACTCATGGCCAGGTGGTTCCTCAATTTCCAAGGTTCCTAATCAGTCTGTATTCTTCTCTCCACCCTACATAGTCTTCTTATCTTTGTTTTATATATCATGTTTGGGGTTTTTATTTACACTTTGTGGGAGGAATAAGGTTAAGTGCACAGACTCCATCTTGTCTGGAACCAGAAGTCAGCTCATCTGGAAATCGATTTTTATTAAACTAAATTACACTGAAATTTGACATGCTGGCTCTTCCTTTATGTAAATAACCTGTATTAGCAGAATACTAAAGATTCATAGAAAGGCCTCAAGGCATTTATGAAATTAGCTTTTCCTTAATGCTTAGTGTGAATCTTTATTGCACATTTTAAATCATCTTGAAAGTGCTTCTTTTCCAAATTCTACATCAGTAGTTCTATTAAGTTGATATATAGTTTCACCACACTAGAAAATGTCAAATTTGGTACACATCCAGGATCCAGAGGAAGGATCACAAGAAAGCAAGAAACTTGTGGCAGAACTAGCATAAACATACCCAGTCAGCCCATCCTCCACTGCTCATATACAGTGATACAAGCAGTGTGTTTAAATGAAGAAAAAAGTGCACTTGCCACAAAGGTAGAAAGCTGGACTCGTTGCCTATATGTAGCTATGGTTTTACAGAACGGCTTATTGTTGTTGGCATGATTTCTTTCGTACCTATGAAGCAGTACACAAGTGAAGAATGGATGGTTACATAGTTGGTGCCTAAAAGTACAGCTTCAATCCCAGCTCCTCCCCCCACTCTACCCAGCAGGTCCCAATAAGCTCTGTTCTCCACAACAGCAGCTGCATAAAGCACAGCCATACTGACAGAGGTGCCCCCATCATTTTCCTGTCTGTACCGTCATCAAACACCTCTCGGGCCACATTTTCTTCTGGCCTGTCTTCACAAACCAGAACTGATAGATACTGATTTGGTATGGGTTTCCAGCACTGGATAATACAACTTGGAAATGGAAGATTATAGGTTTCATATTTAAGAAGCCTTACATGGTCAGGGTTCAACAGACTTTCTGTCTGCGGATTTCTGTGTTCTGAAGTTCAAATGTCCTTTGTTCCTTCCCTTTCCAGGTCAGTCACCATGAACCGGAGCACTCAGCAGGCTGCCCCAGCACTGGAGAAGCAACGCTGTGGAGGCAATCTATCACACTGTCAGAGACCGGGACTTGACTTGGGACCAACCACTGTGCAATTCTGCTGAGCAGGAATATCCTAAGCTGTTAAAAAATGACGGACACATTGGTGGAGCCGAAATTTCCAGTAAGGAAGTGACAGTGCAGTGTGGATATTTATGGCCATAAAATAGGAAGAGCTTTAGTTCCCAGGCTGAGCCTGCCTCTGCTGGAGCCATTTCAACAAGGCGTCCTCACAACAAAGAAGAGATGTGATTTGGCACCATTTCACATCAGATGTCTGGACAAAACATCAATGTGAATAAGGGTCAAGTGCAGTCCTGTCTATCTTGATTAAATTACTTAACATTAAATAAAAGGTTTGGGGTGGTGTTCTAAACCCGACTCATTCAGCTCTCCTTCAAATAGCTACCCCCCCCCCCCCTTGAAACCCAGAACCATTTTTTTTTTTTTTTTTTTTTTTGTTTGGTGAAGATGGAAGTCAGCTTTTATTTAGGAATACCAGTGACCTGAGGAGAGATGCTGGGTTAACCCACCTCTCCAGTAACCCTGAAGGAGAATGGCCAGGCTAAAGCCATCTCAAAGACTCAGGTTTACTGAGAGGTTTTTAAAGAGGGGGCTGAGGGAATGGAACGTGGGAAAATGAAAAGCAGGAGGGAGGGGGACGTGAGCAGCAAGGGGTCCATGTCTATGAGTAAGGCACAAGGTCTCACCAAGGCTCCGTCTGGTTTCTGCTCCCATCCTTATTTCAGGGTCTGGGTAGTACATGCAAGTCTGCAGCTTCAGGCTGACTGGAAAACAACTCTTTTGCTGCCTTGTTCATTCAGCTAAAAAGCCCTGCAAGCCTCAATCCTGGATTGAACATATAGGCTGACTGTTCTGCTAGTGTATCCCAACTATCCTGCAAGGAGCAACCAGTCTGATAGAGGCTCTGGCATCTTCAACACATGGCATCCGAGGTTATTCAGAGTATCACCATTAGTTTCTGGGCTGGGAAGTCCAAAGCCCAGGGAACACATCTGGTGAGAGCCATGGTGGTGGTGACAGTGACAGCAGAGTATTACATTGTGAAAATGGTGAAGCAGAGAGAGCAAGAGAGAGAGCCAGAACCAATTTTTGAAAAGTAATTTTTCTCCCTGGAGTGGGAGAACCCTAATGAACTGCAGCCAATTTTTGCTTTTAAATTGTCCTATCTGGTGTTTTTGTAATTATGCTATTAAATGACTCTGGAGTCACATTAATGACAGGATTTGTTTTGTTAGGAAGCAGATTTTATAATGTAGTTCAAATGCATTGTTCAGATAAAAGCTAGTCTACATACAAAGGAACATGTATTAGTCCATTTCTGTTGCTTGTAACAAAATACTTCGAACTGGGTAATTTATAAAGAAAACTTCAACAGTTACAGTTGGGATTAAGCTTCTAATATATGGACTTCAGGGGACACAATTCAATCAATCCACAGCATATGAAGGAAACTGTGTACTGGGTTCAAGAATTTTAGCAATTATCCAGTAAAAACCTAACCTTTAAGCTGCAATGTCAAATCCACTCGCCTCAATCTTACAACTTGATGTTGCCAACACTCAGTGCTGCCTTATTCAGGGTTCTACACTCAAAGCCTGTTGTAGACAGTTACAGGCCAGGAGTCGTCACAGGCAGAGGCCAGATGTAAAGTATTTCTTTTAACCCTAAGGTACATTTAAAAAATCTCAAAACTCTATTGCCATGATTTTTACACTCTATTTTAAAACTTAATTTCTTTAAGTATCTAAATCGGGTTGGCAAAAACTTTTTCTGTAAAAGGCAAGGTAGTAAATAGTTTAGGCTTTATGGGCCATACGATCTCTGTCGCTATTCTTCAGCTCTGCCCCCATAGCAGGAAAGCAGCCACAGACAATACGCGAATGATGAGAGTAGTATATGCCAATAAAACTTTATTTACAAAAACAGGCAGATTTGGTTCAGGGACCAGCTATTGTTTGCCAACCCCTAGTCTAAATGAAGCTGGAGAGGAACAAGCTTCCACCCAGAAAAGAACCTCTCAGTGAAGGAAAGAAACAGACCAGGAATAGGATCATACTGCACCCTTCTATTAACAGACGATACTTTTATAATAACAAAACAAGATCAGTTCAGCCAGTTAATCTTTTTATTTTGAGTTTTGTAAAAAAAAAAAAAAAGCTTTGAGAAAAATGTGTTAAATATCAGTAAAGGGCAGGAAAATGTGGCTAGCTTTACAATAGCAATCTAAACATATGCACAAAGGTAAACATTAAGTAAAATGCTAGGGAGAAATAGCACTTTGGGGGCCTACTGCAATTTTCCTTATTGCACATAAAGGTTGCAGATAACTCCAAGCCTTTAATTTTTCACAGTTATACTTAATGTCGTTTTATGTAAGATGTTTATTTATGTAACATACTATAATGTTAATTTTATAAAACCATCAGTTTGCTGCTGTTGACTGTAAATAGAAGACAAAATTCTCCCCAATTAGTATGTAAGCTCTCTATAAAAAGATCCCCAGAAGGTCACATCATTCCATGTTAAATTCATCCTATGCTATTTAAAAAATTCCTTTTCTGTTACTAAATGAATCTTGGTGGCCTTCCCATTTAATCACTTTAATGGACATAGTAAAACTTTCCAAGAAAGAACCAGATGTATTATATGTAAAAAATAAAAAGACTACCTAAGAGGAGCTGACCCTACTATGAAGTCACACTCTGAGTGATTTCAGTGGTAAATTCCAAATCCACCCACATAACTGAAAGTCATTCCTCTACTTCTCCAAAGACCACAATTGAAACAATCACAACAAAAGTTAGCCCCCAAATGTCCATGTAACCCAGTAACACCTGGATCATAACTTAAGTGTTTTAGACAGCAGATGTCGAGTTCTTCATACTGTTTACAAGTCCTTTTCTGAGTTCCTCCAATATATTATAGGCCCAGACAGTTTTCCACTGGTCAAGACTCAAGAATCAACCATGACATTTGGCATTTCTGTTAAGCCTTCTAAAAAGGTGGCCATCAGAACAAGAAGGTGACCTCTGCCATGTGCTCTCACATCTGCTTCAGACCTTTTCAAACGGCAACACAGCAGGCAGACCTTCCTTCTCATCTTCTCCGAGGCTTGGGTAACAGAGAACTGGCTGCCTGCGTGTTCTGTATGGGCCCTGGTTGTAGAATACCCTGCTTGTGAAAATAAAACTAACATCAAAAACTTTGGTTTTGTTCTTTACAACTTTTGCTAGCACTTGGTGACAAGATGTGTTTGTTAATATAAAAAAACTTTATGAAAATCGAAACTGGGAAAAATGATTTCTAGGTCTTGTTTTGAAAGGATTGTCAGAGAGTCTACTTGCTTTTCTTAGTTAGACACTAGCATTGGTTTCTACAGTATTTCTCTATGTGTTGTTCTTATTAGGTCTGAGAAAGCAGAAAGTTCTTTTCAGGTATCAGAGTGGTGAAAGCAGCATTTAGATGGGTTCTTCCCAAACTACAACTCTTGGCTACTAGATTCCTTCGACTTACTGTATCAGAATGCAGTAACCATCACTGGCAAGCCAGATTCTTACTTTAAAAACAACAGAAGAGATCGGAACTCAGTGACAGAAGTCTAATGTATCTGACAGGCTCATTCCTGCACTAACTAATCTATAGAATCAACATCAAAAGGCAGGCATGGAGCTTCTCAAATTCCCCACTGCTGAAGTGGAGTAAGAAGTCATGTACTTATTAGACAAGCAACCTGGCTTTCCAGCAGCCCTCATTCCAGATTACATTTTACTACACCTCTTAGAACTCATGATGGAGACAAGGGAGGTTTCCAAGAGGATGACTTTCACCTCTGATGAGTTGCTCAACTGCCCTGCCGCAGCTCTTCCCCAAGGGTGGTGGTGGTGCTTCTGCATTTGTAAATCACTTGCTCACATTGAATATCTGACGTGATGACATTTGCTTCCACCAAAGGCAAAGAAAGGGAGAGAGATCATGGGGGGAGGGGGGTGGTAATGTGAAACAGACCTCTATTTTGGAAGGAATTCTTTGCCCTAGACTGAAATGGTGGTAGACAGCCGAGATAACATTCTGAATGCTTTCTAAAGAGATTTCATTTGTCAACCAAACCTCAGAGGATATTTTCAGGTCTAGAGAACACAGCCTAAAGAGCTCCTTGCTGTTTGCTTGATGAAACACGTGATGTCACCATATGGTTTTTGGCTTCAAGGAATCAACGCTTATTTGTTTGATCACACCAGTTAGTACCCTGGATGGGCAGAGTCTATATGCCCTTCCTGTGCTTGTTTCCTAGGAAGAAATGTGGCCTTATTTAAACTCCAAATTTCCTTCTCTAAGAGAGAAAGCTTAGGTTTCCTGGTAGTTCCCAAAAAGAGTATTAAAAGAAACAGCAGGAGTTTTTATCTTCTCTCTATGGGTGCTATACAAAAGTTGGCATCTCCTTAATTACCTGCTACCTACACCACCACCACCATGTGACAGCAAAGTGACCTCAACCTTCTACTCTGTAAATGGGCTCACCCTTATTCTGAGAAATCCAATGAGGATTCAGGCATGGGGACAAATGAAGGGAAAGCTTGACAGCAAAGAATTAAATTAATTTAATTCCAGGTTCCCAGAAAACTTCAAGTCTGAGTAGAGCTTCTTCAGCTCAGTTGAGATGAAACCCCCCTTTCCCCCATAAGTGGGTGGGTAGAATAGCTCACCCAGAAAAAACCAAAACTAAAAACCTAAATTTCAAGCCACACCTACATATTAAGCTGGAGCAACAAGGCTTCCTAGATACCAAGAAATAACCCTTCTCCTCATGGCACTCAGTAGTGTAAAGACCCTGGATACTTAATCTTATAGAAGACAAACCTTCTACTGGTCTGAATAATCCTTAACATTCCACTGACTAGTCTCAGATTCCTTGCATGGCCACTGAAATTTCGTGCAGTCATCAGCTTGAAGTTTGGAGTTCTACCCAGTCTTGAGACTACTATCTTGTATTTTCTTTGCAGTTAACTTTTTTGCATTGAGATTTCTTTCCCTCTGAATACTAGCCGATCGCCTCTTAGGTCTGGCTGCATTCTCTTCCCCACATAAAAGCAGCCTGTAAATTTTGGTGTTATTTCTAAGCCTGCAGTAGCTACCCCAGTGCTACTTAATCATTTCCCAGGCAATCAGCTCATATGGTAGCCCTCAAAAGTTGAATTATTTTTGTAGTGATATCATCATCTGCCTCTAAATACCTCCTGTCCTCAGACTAATTAAAAAACAATAGTATAACACTATTTTCCTTTGGTTTTAAACATTTCAGTAACTACTTCTTTATGGAGATTTCCAGAGAAGGAACTATAATTCTTTCCTCCATGTTGAAATGTTCATGGATATATTTTCTAATCTTCAGTCTAGAAGAAACACAGGTAGCACAAAAAGTCAGGAAGCCTGACATGAGATTGCAAACACAGCCTTCGTTGCTGAAGCCTCCACTCAAGTTGCTTTTTCATGTTTTCTGTCCCATTTAACATCAGCTTCCCATAATCTTTGGAGGTCCAATATCAATTGCCTTCTTTTGAGAACTTTCTCCTAGCCTGTTCTCCCCTAACTTAATATGCCTGCAGCCAGCGAGACACGCACTGCTGTGCACTGAGATGAAGCCGCTTGTGGGAGGGATCCCAATCCCTGCCCCACCCGGTTTGGATACTGCAGGCGAATGAATGAAGAGACCAGTAAAGCATGCTAGTTTTCATTTAACTCTGAAACAACGCACTACTACGTGAAAAAGTGGGAATAGGTCTGCATTTGCCTTAATTTAAAGACACTTTAGCCTCACCATCTGCATCTTGGGGTAAATTTTAAGTTTTAAGATAGCTTCAGACCTCAATGAATTAGAAGCGTAAGTTCAATGCAGTCCATGCCCCGCTTCAAACACCACTGGGGCTTGCAACCATCGTCACCCCACCGGGGCCAACCCCATCACTTCAGGGTTTGGCGGGAAAGTCATGCATTATCATCCAGAGGCAACACTAGGGGGGTGCCCCAGCTCGAAACCTTCTGGTCTCCCATTCCCAGGTCTCGCTCCAGCACTTCCTCAGAGCTGCTCTTTGTTCTCCGGCTGCCCTCGAGACTCGTGGAGGCCGTGTGGGAGCCTGAAGAGCCATTTGCAGTCACTGTGCTGTCCCCATAGGTCAAGGTGAGGTCGCCCTCGGTCAGGATGAAATCAGAGTCTTCCTCTCTTAGGGGCTCTTGGTTCTGAAAAATGCAACCAGCAACCACCAGAACAAAATGGAGAGACTGCTATCTTCTAGGGCTGAAGCCAACCTCAACTCCTCATCTGAAAACTGAAGATTATGAAACTTGTCTGCCTTGAGCCTCTAGCACGGTAATTAACGTAAACTATTCAGTGTTCACAAGAGTGTTATTCCATGCAAGGCTCTGTTGCCAGAACCAGGACTTACAACGCCAAAAGCAGTCTGATTTCAAATGTCTGACAGCTCAGGGATAGTGATGAAGGGAAGAAAGGGAGACCAACCTGGATTTTCAGCTTCCCAACCCGCAAAGAAAGGAGGGCATGAGGTCCCTGGGCAAACACTGCAAATAGGTTTCGGGTACTTGCTTCTCTGGGTGGGTCTTCTGGGTGGGCCTCCTGCCTTAACCAAACCATCCTAAACCCATCTTATTTACATTTGAGCTACTCTTGATCCCAGTCAGCAATTGAGGGAAAAGGACAAACCATAACTAGGATTTCCACCCTGCTTCCCTTCTGATGTCCCTACAGAAAAGCCCTGACAGGAAGCTCTCCCCTCCACATCTTCAGGTGGGTGAAACAAATGACAGGGGAGAGTACGTTCTATTAAGCATCTTTATACGCCTGCCAGGAACTTCACATCAGCTCTCACTTGATTCTTACCCCTCCCCCGCAAAGGGCAAGAACACTCTTATCAGAGTAGAAAACCTGAGCTAAGAGAACCTATAAAATGTGCCTGAAGCTGTCCAGCTGACCGGAAGCAGAGACTGGATTTATGTTGCCTCCAGACCGGTTTTACCCACATAAAGGATGGGAAATATCTCCCCGTCAGAAAAAGGACTGGAATGGTATCTTATGCTAGGTGGTAGTTGTAGTAAAACAGACAAAGCAAACCAAGGCAAGCGTTAGCAAAGTCGCAGCCACTAGAAACTACCAGATGGTGGGGAGACAGCGTGTCAGGAGACAGTGCGAGGGCAGACAGACCTTTCACCCTCCAATGGCTTTAACAAGCCAAACAAGAGGAGAGCCACTACCCCGCCCCCCTGCTACCCTGAGGTCTGTCAAACACTGTGAACATCTTTCTTGAATGGCAAACACACAGTGTCAATATGCTCTGGGTAAACCACTCTTTCCTCTCCTGTCTCCCGTCAACCCTTTGAAATTCCTCTGAAGTCCTGCGTCCTCTAAGTGACAGGCTTCCTCTGTCCAGGACCCCCTCGTGGCTCCCGCTCAGTCATGCTGCTCAAGGCCACGGGCAGATTCCTTGAGTCGGTGCCTGGACTCCCCATCTGGGTGGTAAACCACCAAAGGGCAGTGACCACCTTCTCCTGCTCTTGGTGCCCTTCCCCAGCGGTGTTCACCTCCTGCCAGGTGTTGAGTGAAAGCCTGGTAAAAAGCCGGAGCGAGGGAGGCTTCCCTCACTTCTCTTCTCCCAGCCCATCTCTGTGCACTTACTGGCAACAAGCTCATCCTTGTTCTGAGCATTGTTTCTCAGTGATATCGACTTCTCCACACACAGCCCACAATGTGACTCCACTTAACCAACGCCCCAGCATTTCCCACAGGCATGCACGCCACTCCCCTTGCTGCCTCAAATCCCTGCTGGGATGAGGCTGGGTGCAAAGGCCCAATGAAACAAAAGTCTTGTACTCAGGCAGACACTTAGAGCGCAGTCCTTCAGGCTTGCTCTAGACTCCCAAATTTCCTCTTCATTACTGTTTAGGAAGTCCTGAAACTCAGCCTGTTCTGCAGTACTCTTTTTAACAACAAATGACATCATTAGCCCCTTCTGCATTTCCAACTCCCAGGGAGTCCTCCTCCCCTGTCTTAGCATATTTCAGGCCTCCCATTCATATGTGTGCTAAATAATATTTTTGTTCATCTCTCTTAAAATCTCTCTGCCAGGGCTCTTAGCTCCTAATGATCCAGCATGGCCTGCTCTGACTCCTCACAGAGGGAAGCAGGGCCAAAATTCACTGACCAGGAGAGAACAAGACTAGAGGGTAACCCAATCCATTTATGAAACTCACAAGCCAGACACAGTGCCCAAGGACAGGTCATTCAGAAACAAGGACACAGTAAAACTCAGTGGAGAGTGATTCTCAAATCAAAGCTCAATAATGTCATGTGCAGGTGATGAAACCAACTCACACCATCAAATTCTAGATCAACACAAGTTTTGTGAAGCTGAAGGTCTGTATAATTATATAACTAGCTGTCCAGTGAAGGATGCTATGAAAATACAGTGAATGACCCTGAGAGTACCTGCAAATGAGAGCGTGGTGGGAATATGTGTGTTTTAAATAACCAGAAGTCACTTTCACAAGTGGAAGAATGCTGTTTTCCAGACAGATATCAAACCTAAGTGGGTTAGAGTTCGTGGAAATAATGAATGATGAACATCTTACATATCACCAAAAAACCTTGGCCAAGTACAAAGCGCCTTAGAGGTGATGGGTGAGAACCACACAACAGGTGTCAAACAGTCATGAGAACTGCCCAGTCTGAGACCCTCACTGGCACTGAACTCCACAGTGAGCCCTTCCACCTCTTTGGGTTCCTCAATTGATAATTTGGAAAAGATCCTTTGCTCCCACAGTCTCAGCAGCAGGCCTCACTGTGTCTGGAGTGGTGGAGACCCTGGGCAGGACCCTAGCCCAAAGCAGCTGCAGCAGTGTTGAGGGTGATTCTTGCTGGAAGCCCAAAGCACCCCACCTTAGGCTGGCTGTGGGGAGTCCACAGCCCAGACATGACCCCGAAAGCAAACCTTGAGTAGCCTCTTGAACTGCTGAGGGAAGCACTTTAAATTCAAGTGACTATAGGTTTGCTGGTTTTATGCTGAGTTCAAACTATTCCAGATATTCCTAATCTATGAACAAGAGAATAGTTAGTAAGCTTCAGATTAGATAAGGTTTTTTATAAAGTTTTAATAGTGAGTTAGTTGTTTTACTATTGCATAGACATGAAAAGTGACCCTTATTAAAACCTAATTAAGTTGGAAGGCTTTAGAAATTGTCCAGAAAAGACTAAAGCTAGAAAGGAAAGAAACATGTAAATCCAGTGAAATTTAAGATCAGAAGGTGCGCTTGGTTGGAGCTTCATTAGTGGTAGTGTCTCCAACAATGAAATGCATCCGGATGGCTCAGACTGCCACTGCACGCAGGGGTCCAAGTTGACCACACGGTCAGCATTTAGAACCAGACGGCCTTCCTTAAGTAAGCTAGTAGCAGGATGAGAAAGTTTAAAACTAACTTTTGGTTTGTATCCTTCTGACAGAAAGGGTAACTAGCATTATTGTTTAGGCTAATAAACATTACATTGAAAATTCACCATAAGTGTTAAAAATCACTTTACAAATCAGGAGCAGTTCCAGGGAAACAGTGTTCTCATCATTCTAACCTTTTTTTTTTTTTTTTTGTAATTTAAAACCAGTTTATCACAGGTGGCACAGGAATTTCATTTTTATATAGGGAGGAGCTAGGGATGCTAGAAGGCTCAACTACCTTTAAGAGGAGACATGAATGCCATTCTCTGTCATGTTTGGTGAAAATTCAAAGAAAAGGCTGTGGCAGAGCTGCATAAAAATCAGGCAGAACCTGCTCTCGCAAGGAGGCAAATCCAGCAGCCCAGCTGGGCTTTCAGGTGTGACGTTCTGTAGCTGCCCACCTCTTCAACAGTTACCCTCCTCCTGAGGGGGCCATGGGATGACAGACACAGAAAGCTTACTGTCTATGGGGCTCTCCCACTGCACAGCAGCAGTGGGGTCTAGGACACATAGTGACTTGGCAGTTGTGATCTCTGTTCTCACAGGAAGAGCATGCCATTTAAGGAGCTGCATCTTCTGATCCTGGGTGCTCTGATGGGATTGCCCTTCCCCTCTGCCCCAGCGCTCCTCCACCCCCCGACCCCCCGCCTAGCTACAGGGTCCACATTCCTTTCCCTGCTGCACCACCTGAATACATGCCACACGCCACCTTCCCACTGCCTCCCCCACATTAGAACTTCCCTGCGTAGAGCCCTTCTCTCTCAGAACTGGGCTTTGCGTTCTGCTTTCTCATCGCTGATCAAATAAATTGCAGGCTCTTTGCTAAGTATTTGAAGACCTGCATTAGGGCCTCAGCTCTGCCAATTACTAACCGTGGGGCCGTGGACAATTCCCCACATCACAGGGCCCAACTTTCCTCCACTGGAACACTGCAGTACCTGCTTATTCGCAATGTGGCCAAGAGAATGGAATTAGCCTTTGTGACCACAAAGCCGTACACAAATTTAAGAAGTTCTTTTCTCCCAGGGTGTAATGATTGTGTTAGTGACAAAATGATTAGGATGGCGGAAGAGAGATGAGGAAGAAGGAAGGCCTTTGACCTCTCCTCCTCCTTCCCGAGGGTAGCTCCTTGCTCTCCCCACCTCTCTGCCCTGCAACCCCCATCAGCAGTTCAACAGTGAGCCGTAAATCTAAGATGGCCACCAGTATGGCTATTCTTTTCATACTGTGCTGAGTCTATTTCTAGAATCTGAAAATGGGAAGAAAGGATCTAACCACATCAACATAAATAAACTACTTACAAAAGGAATCCTTACACTGGTGTAATGCCTTGTAGTTCACAATGTATCCTTATGTCCCTCATCATTTAATGCTCACAGCCAGCCCATTTTACAGATTAGAAAACTGAGGTGCAGAGCATTTCAATGGCCTGTGAGGGCCTGAATTCCAATCTAGTTGTTCTGATTCCAAATCCAGTGTTTTTTCTACTTAAACTACAACTGCCAATGTTGGGGAGCCCCATAACCCTGGTAAAAGGTTTCTCTGTTACTGTGCAAGATACATAAAAATATGTAAACTGGACATTTCTAATCATCTTATTAGAGAAGCAAAATCTGTGGATTTGGAGGCATGATGCGATGGGTTTCTTCTTCCTAGGTAAGAGACTACCTGGGCATGGTGAGTAGGAACACAAACTTGACATGCTGTACTTACGTCGTACACCTGGGGACTAGTCAGACATCGAGCTAGCAAGCCACACCAGGCAGGGAGAGTGGTGGTCAGTGGAGGGCCGCTGTGTGTGAGGATGGGCTTCAAGTAACTTTAAAACAGAGATTAAGGAAAAATGGCTGCAAAGAAAACACACACCCAACAAAATGTGCGTCAAAATCCTGAAATTAGGGCCGGCCCGGTGGCGCACTCGGTAGAGTGCAGCACTTGGGAGTGTAGTGGCACTCCTGCCGAGGGTTCGGATCCCATATAGAGACTGGTCCACTCACTGGTTGAGCGTGGTGCGGGCGCGACACCGAGGGTTGCGATCCCGTTACCGGTCACGAAAAAAGACAAAAAGGAAAAAAAAAAATTCTGAAATTAAATCGTCCAACATTCTACCCACAAAGTCTCTTTTCTCCATTTTTACCAGTACAATACAGGAAACACTTGTAACTTGCAACAGTTTGAATCAAAGATCAAGATATGCCCTGTCAGCCTTAAATGGTAACTGTTAACTCTCAGGTTGGTGATTACCAGTTTTCAGTTAAAAAGAGTATTTGGTTAATTAAAACACCCTCTTTCTTTGTTCTGTTGAATGACGAGAGTTTTGGTTTCAATCAGCATTTGGCTTTTGACACACAAGCAGCTCATGTCTTGGAAACAGGAGACAGTGTACCTGGAGTGGGGCGTTGCAGCCCCTGGAGCCCCTCTGCCCTTGTTTTCTGTAAGTGCTCTCATTAACCCACTCTACCCAGAGGACACACAGTGGAAACGTTTGAGTTGGACAGGATCTTAGAGGTAACCTGGGGCTACTACAAAGGAGGAAACTGAGATGTAGCAAGGTGAAATGATTTCATTAAGGTTTCTCAGACCCAGAAGTCTCCTGACTTCTCATCCAGGGCTATTCTTCACTCTACCTGCTGCATAACGAGAAAGAAGATGTAAACACTCCAGGGTTCACGTGAGGACCCTAGAAAAAGGGCAAAGGAAAAACAGACTAACACTCACAGGAACTAAAGCCCAGCTTCAAATCACCTTTATTCCTTATTGGATTAAGTGATCTGGAATTGCTAATACACTACTGACCAGATGTAAGCTTATTATCATCTCTGAAGGATGATTATCTCATCTGCAGCATTTCATGTTATCTCCAGATTTTTTTCCTTTGTCCTTGTCTGTTGCTCGGTAAAAAAACAGATGCACAGGAGATAAACAATAAAGCTTCTAGAAGGGAACACGGGAAACTGGCTTCATGACTTTGGGGTAGGCAAAGATTTCTGAAATGGAACACAAAAGATACTAACCAGAACAGATCAATCAACTGTGTTAAGATCTTTTTGGTTTACCAAAAGATTCTACTTAGTGAAAAGGCAAGTTACAGAGTGGGAGAAGATATTTTTATCACAGATAATCAACAAAAGACTCATATTCAGAATATATAAAGAACTCTTACAAACCAGTAAGAAAAAGGCAGACAACCCAATAGAAAAATGGGCAAGAGACTTGAACAGGCACTTCATAAGGGAACATACCAAGTGGCCAGTAAATATATGATAAGGTGCTCAACCCTATTAGTCATCAGAGAAATGCAAATTAAAGCCACAATGAAATACCACACAAACCTGCTAGAATGGCTAAAAATAAAAAGAATGACAACACTAACTGTTGGTGAGGATATGGAGCAACTGGGACTCTTAAACACTAGAGGTGAGTGAGCAAACTAGCACCACCATTTTGGAACACGTTTGGTACTATCTTTTAAAGTTGAACCCACATATGTCTGATGACCCAGCAATTTCACTCCTGGGTATATGCCCGACAAAAATATATGTATATGTGTACCAAAAGTCATGTACAAGAATGTTCAGAGCACTATCTTTCACAGTAGCTCCAAATTGGAAACAACCCATGTTTATCAACAACAGAATGATAAATTGTGATATATACAGGCAATGAAATACTATGCAGCAATGAGAACAAATGAACTAGAGCTATATACAACACCACAGATGAATCATACAAATGATGTCAAGCTAAATAAACCAGACACTAAAATACATACACTGTATAATCCTATTTATATAAAGTTGGAAAACAGGTAAAACTATTTATTGTTACTAGAAGTCAGGAAAGTGGTTACATTTAGGAAGTAGGAAGGGGTAGTAATTAGGTTATGGCATGAGGGGAGCTGTTAAGTTTTGTGTTTCTTGACTGGTTTGGTTTTAAATGAGTGTTTATTTTGTGATAATTTACTGAGCACTTGTGATTTGTGTACTTTTCTGTATATCTGTTATACTTCAATAAAAACATTTTTTGACATTTTCAAAGTCTCCAAAGACCATATATAATAAGCCACCTGCCCATTTGATCAGTATGTTAAGTTAAACCAAAAGGTTTAATTCTTTGGTTTTTAATTTTCACCAGGAACCAAGTAAATCTATTAGAAAAGGGTCTGCCCTGCATGTGGCCCAGTTATGCCAGTATCAGATCACACAAGATAAGACTTGGCTGAGTTCAGCTAACAGGAATGATCCTCCCCACATGGATTAACTGACCAAATTCCATTTCCCCTCCTGACCACAGCATGGTTCATTGTGTAATTTTAACTAATTTACCTACAAAGGCATAGTTTCCCTGGATACAAAGCTCTCAAGAGCCACATGAGTCTACCAGTCTGTGAATTTGCTACTCTAATGATATGCAAACATTCCTCTTGGCCAGAGAGATGCTCACCAGGACTACCTGTGGTTGAATGATCAATGCATGTGTCCCAAGAGAGGACTAACTACACCTGTCCCCAGCACACATCTTTCCTTACTCATCAGAAGTCATTTGCCTACAACTCAACAAGAGGATTTCATCATCAATGTTTCACGAGCACAAGGGATGCCACTTAAAAGGATACTTGTGGTCAAAGCTGTACCACAGCCGGAATATCCACGCACTCTCCTGCTTTGTCCGGTTTCCTGTGGCAGAATCTGGGCCATCCTAGGAACAAACAAGAGGACACATGCTTAGTTGGAAAAAGGGATCTGAAACAAGGGAAAAAAGGCTCCTTTTTTAACTATAATTTTTATAGATCTAGAGCTCATAGTCAAACATTCTATATCACCAAAGTTTCAAAGATATATTGGGAGGCAACATTTTAGCAGAAACAGTTAAACCCAAAACGCAGAAAAATCAATCCTCAAAGTAACAAGGCTTAGTTGTGTATGTGGCTACAAAATTTCTTTTGGCATTTTTATTGTAATTTTCCTCAAAGTGCCTTTCAGCAGATTAATTACCCTAACATAGTTTAGATCCTAACAGGCCAAAATTGATTTATAGAGAATATTAAAGAAAGCTTCTATAAAACCAACTTTCCAGGCCCCCTAAAGCTAGCTTGGGGAAACCACACTTTGAGTTCGCCAAGGGTTCTCTGTGGTCCCTACCCAGGCGCCCACACCGTGCTCCAGGCAGCACAGTAATTTGTTTCCCTACCAGCTTTAGGAAGGTGCAGTCAGTAGGCAGGGGCAACAGGGCCAGAAGTAGCAATTCTGTTATTTTATCTACCCTCAAGTAGCAAGTTCCTTGCTACTTACTCCTCTCACACCTTTCCAACTCAAACATCCCCATCATTTCATTTTCAAAATAACCTGCAAAATCAAATGTTCATTTCAGGTTTAGGAAATCTGATTTATGCAAGTATTATAAGCAGCACAATTAATACAAAAATCAGACTGTAGCAATTTGAGGGCACTACTGGGGTTCCATGTCGCTGGATAACAAGCTCTGAAAGTACAGGCTGCTTGTGAAGCACAGCCATTTCATCGCCATCTTCTTTAACGTTATAGGGAGAGGCAACTCTGCAAATGAGGGACAATCAACAACAACCAAATAAAACTTAAACCAAAATTACAAGTAGTTCTAAATCACAATGAGTGTACATTCTACCTATAACAGCAACACCAAGGATTCATCAGAGACCTTTGAGAAGATAAGCATATAGACAAGTAGAGGGAGGGAAATTAGCAAGCACTATTTAAATTCCTAAAGTTTCTAACAGTGAGGAGAATTTTTAAAAATTGAGTCCCCAGGTATTTAAGGAATGTTCAGTGATGGATATGGAAATGGCTTAGTTAAATGGGCCTTTTTGCAGATACGGAAATATAAGCAAGGAGGGACCCCAACACCAATTTTATTTTACATTTTTATAAATCACGTGGAAGAAAGATATGTCTATATCTGCAGATAACAATCCTTCCTTTGGGTCACTGATTGCTAATCCAATGACATTCTAGGAAGATTTCAAAATGCCACACAACTGAGCAGGAAAGTGGTAGGTGACCTTTCTGCTAAGCAAATAGCTTTATGGAAAAATTAAATGGTTCTTTATAAAGTGATAGGCTCTAAGCTCTCAGTTCTAAGTGCCTGTAGAATTTTACAAAAGAAAGAACTAGCAAAATGATAAACATCATTAGGAAGGATACTATAAACCATCAGGCACAAAACAAGTTCCCCAAAGACAGTTTCTTCCTCTCCTTCCTTAAATCAACAATAAAAATAATAAACCCTACTCTGTCATCTTAACCTCTGCAAAATCACAAAGCATTTATTATCATCTGGAATACTTAACTTCTTGCTACCTCACTTCAAGCAAGCTGCAAGAGACTTACATAAGCCCCGAAAGGGATGATTAAAGTGAGTAAGGCAAGGGAAGAGCTTCTATTTGATGGCAAACTAACAAAGGTCTTCTCAAACTACAAGAAGACATGCTTGCAATCCACAAATAATATGGTGACCTCAGATTGCACAGCAAATCCCGAAATGTGAGAAACTAAAAGACAACCCCTAAAGGCTACAAGGGGTAAATCTAGGACAAATCAAAAGTGCAACTTTGTAAAAAGGGTGTTAACTTCTCATTCCAAGAGATGGTGCCAGAAGCATGATTAGGTTCAGGAAGAACTTAAACAAAGCCACATAAGGGCGGCTTTGGGGAAATCAGGGCAGTTATGTGGAACAGAATATTTTAAGCTGACCCGGAAGATGACTGAAAACTGCTTCACCACATGATTGGGGCATGAGAGCCCTTCCCGTGGGCTCTGACAGCACAGGGCTGAGCAGGGGTCACCAGGCAGGGCCTCCTTCCAACTGCACTTAGAGACTCCTGGATTTCCATTCCCGTGCTGCTCACAGAAAAAGCAGGGCTCGCTCTCACCACGCCTATCCCCAAAAGCTGCATTCCCACCAAAAGGAGTCCCCCCACCCCCACTCCCCACTGCCTCCTTGTCGTCAGCTCAGACTACTTACAGGGCCGGGAATACCCTTTCTTCCTCTCATCTTCTCCCACCCACAACACCTATTCATCTTTCAAGGCTGTGCACAGCTTGGCTTCTCTGAGACATTTCAAAAGCAGCAGAATACCCCACGAAGGGTAGGTATGAACATCATAGGCTCTCTCAACAGACTACCTGGGTCCTGACTGGACCATTGCTCTGCTGTGTGACTCTGGGCAAGTTACCTAACCTTTCTGTGCTTCAGTGTCATCCTCTGTAAAATGGAGACATTAATAATTACCTACCTCATAGGGACATTATGGGGCTGTGATATTGTGATATAACAAGAAATAGATATTTGGTCTTCGCCCCAGTTCCTGGCGCAAAACTCCTAAAACCCTTTGAATTCTGTGAGTGATGGGGGGTGAGAGGAGCATCTCTTTTATTCATACTAAGCCCCTTTCAACCATACCTGAGTTTATGCTAATGAGGTGACTCTTGGAGGTTGGGGACTGGTTGCCAGAGGGACCAACCATGTGATTAGACGCTTGGAACTTTCAGCCCCACCTCCGGTCTCCAGGGAGGGAAGAGGGACTGGGGATTGACTTAGTCACCAATGGCCAATGATGCAATCAATCATACCTACGTAACAGAACCTCCATAAAAACCCTAAACAATGGGGTCTGGAGAGCTTCCAAGTTGGCAAACGCATGGAGGTTCTGGGAGGGCAGTGTGAAGAGGGTGCAGAAGTCCCATGTGCCCCATCCCCACACCTTGCCTTATGTGTCTCTTCCATTTGGCTGTTCCTTTATGTCTAGCTCTTAATCCTGTTCATGACGCCTATTGTCTAGCTCCACCACCACGCTAGTTGTCAGGCTCTTTTACCTGCCCATAACCCTGCTGACTAGGCCGACTGTTGAGCTAGGGCTGGGTCTGGAGCTCCCAGACCCCTCAAGCCCATTCACAGACTGGGTCACAAACCCTTCACACGCCAGGCTGGGTCCCCAGACCCCTCACACGCAGGTCTATGAGCTAGGTAACCGGCCAAAAGTTCCTTGGAAGCCGTAGGTTGGAAAGCGTGGCCACGCAGGGCAGATGCCCGCCTGCCTGCTTCACTAAAACTCCTCTCTACCTCTCTCCCTCTCTCTTTCAAGAACACAATAGCAACAAAACGAAAAAGATACATTGGCACGCATGCGCACTAACCACACACACACACACACACACACACACACACAAATTTGCTAACAAAGGACGTGCTAAAACCACACCCAACTGGACCCGAGGCAAAGGCCCTGACCAAACTACTCTATTTTCCCAACACTTTATAATAAACTGGTAGTAAGTAAAGTGCCTTTTTGTGTTCTGTGAGTTATTCTAGCAAATTACTGAACATGAGGAGGGGGTCATGGGACACCCATCCCCCGATTTATAGCCAGTCGGTTAGAAGTAAGGGTCACAATCTAGGACTTGCGACTAGCATCTGCAGCGCAGGAAGTCTTGTGGGACTGAGCCCTTAACCTATGGGGTCTGACACTACCTCTGGGCAGTTAGTGTCAGAATTGAGTTAGATTCTAAGTCACCCAGTTGGTAAGATCACCAAAAATTGGAAAATTGGTTGGTGTGGGGAAAAACCCACATATTTGGTGTTAGAAATATTGTGAGTATAGAGAAAAAAAGGTTTTTATTTTAGAGGCATAAAATAATTTTTACATTTAAAGAACGTAGGCCAGTGGCTGATATACAGTAAGCATCAACAAATATTGACTTTCGTTATTATTAGCCATGTGACTTTTTTGTGCTGATTAAATATTTGTAAAATATTTAGCACAGTATTGAGTACACTGTTTGAGCTCATATTATTAATTCAGTTCATCTCCAAAGACTGGATATACAATTTTAAGCATGTATTTGTTGAGGAAAAAAACCTAATCATTAACGTCATTTGGCTATCTTGTATGGCTTTTTACATGAGGGATTTTTAATCCTTTTATTGATATTAATAGAGAAGGCCCTTCAAGAAAATTGCATATTATCATTTTTTTGAGCATGTAACAATGAGTGTCTGTTTCTTCTGCATTCACTAAGCACCTACTATGTGCCAGGCACCATGCTGGGTGCTGAAAACACAAAGAACGAGACTCAGCACCTGCCCCTTGAGGAGCACCCACCTTTCTAGAGGGAGAGAGGGACAGACAAATACAAGTGTGGTGACAAATGTAACAAAGAAAAAGAAAGCTGGTTAAAGAACTGAGGAATGGCAAATGGTCCTATTTTTGAAATAATTTTTCTAGAACTAATGAATAATAATGTCTGCGTAGAGCTGTATTTCATTTCATTCCTATATAATGTTAAAAGAATTTTTGGTTTTTTTAAGTTAAGGTCATTACAATAGTGAGAATAGCTTACCTTTTTTCAGGGATGGAGCACATGCTAGGTGGAATTATGGTCCCCCCCAAATTTCTATCCTAATTCCTGGAGCCTGTGAGCACGATATGTTACATGGTGAAGGGGGCTTTGTGGATGGACTTCAGCTCATGCAGGTAGGCCCAGTACAATCACGTGGGCCCTTAAAGGTGGAAAGGAGGAAAACTGCTGAATCGATTATACAACCTAATCACTGGCATCTGTGTTTTGTGTATTTTCAAAAAGTCTTAAGCTTTGATGACTGATTTTTAAGTGAGATCCCTGTTATGCCAAGAAGACACTGTATCTCTTTCTGGGTGTAGTGGC